AACCCTATAGAAAAACCGGACAAGAATAGGACAGGGAGTTCACAGCAAAAGAAACACAAATGACCTATAAAAATAGGACATGTCCAGCCTCCCTGTGAACTAAAGAAATGTAAGTGAAAGCAAGACACCATCTCTCCAGATTGGATCATCACCACCCTCCTCCCCCTAAAAGAAATTGCTAAAACCCAGTCTTGCCAAGGGACAGAGAGACACTCAGAGCAACTGTACACCCTACCTCTTTAGAGGACAGTTGGACAAGACTGCTTATATCAGACGATAAAGGTTAGGGACTTAACCCCGGATAGATTCACAAAAGTACCAAAGATACAGTACAACATTCATTGCAAACTTATCTGAAATAGTAAAAACACTAAAAACAAACCCAAGTCCATCAGTAGGGACTGGTTAAATAAATTATGGAAATCCATACAATGCGATACGACAGAGGCATTAAAAGATTTATCTCTCTTGTAGAAATAGAAAATTTTCCGAAGACATACTGATGTCGAGGGGGCCGGCCCCATGGCTTAGCGGTTAAGTGCGCGTACTCCACTACTGGCGGCCCGGGCGCCACCGACGCACTGCTTCGCTGGCCATGCTGAGGCCGCGTCCCACATACAGCAACTAGAAGGATGTGCAACTGTACAACTATACAACTAGTATACAACTATCTACTGGGGCTTTTGGGGGGAAAAAAAAGGAGAAGGATTGGCAATAGATGTTAGCTCAGAGCTGGTCTTCCTCAGCAAAAATAGAGGAGGATTGGCATGGATGTTAGCTCAGGGCTGATCTTCCTCACACACACACAAAAAAGATATATTGATGTCGAAATAAATTGCCAGAACAGTGTATTATTTAATAGTGTAAACAAACATATCTATATATATACACTTGCATATACATACAAAAAACTTAATAGTGAATACATCTGGAGAGCTTAAATGAGGGGAATAGGGGTTAGAGAAGAAAGATGTTTAACTTTTCACTTTATACTCTTATGTACTATCTGAAAATTTTTTTAACATAAACATTATCATCTTTAAAATAATAAATTTTAAATTCCAAAGCCAAAACCCTAACCCTAAAGAAACCCGTCTTCCTGAAGTGCTGAGCTGGCTTTTCTAAGCTCTCAGCTTTGTGCAGAAAGGTGTGTCCCAAGCAGCTGTGACCGAGGAAGGGTCCATCCTCCAGAATCCCACTTGATGGTCCCTCTTTCCTCAGGCTCTGTCCTGAACTCTCAGGCCTCATTTCTGAGGAGACACCGATTGTCACTAAGGAAACCAGTCTGGGACGTAAGTTTCCATCGACCATCTTGACTAATACCGGCCATACTAACAGCGACATAACCGGCCTACAAAAAATTAAAGCAGATTTCCAATAAATTGCATAAACGATATATGGTTATCTATATATTTTTTTCTTCTACTTGAACTTCAGCTCCTAAAGTAAGCATCTATCTTGCTAAGTAAAAAGTCAACTAAAAAAGTCATCCTCAATTTAAAAATGGGCAAAGGATCTGAATAGACGTCTCTCCAAAGGTAGGCAAATAGCCAATAAGCACATGAAAAGTTGCTCAGGATCATTAGTCACAAGGGAAATGCAAATCAAAACCACAATGAGATACTACTTCACACCTCCTGGGATTACTATAACGAAGAAGTCAGAGAACAGCAAGTGTTGGTGAGCTTGTGGAGAAACTGGAGCCCTTGTTCACTGCTGTGGGAACGTAAAATGGAGCAGCCGCTGGGGAGAACAGCCTGGCGGTTCCCCAAAACACTCAACACAGAGTTGCCACGGACCCACCAGTTCTAGTTCTAGGGATCTACTCAAGAGGACTGAAAACATATGTCCACACGAAATCTTGTGCATGACTGTTCATAGCAGCACTATTCACAATGGCCAAAAGTTGGAAACAAACCAATCCACTGATGAATGGATAAAACGTGGACTATACATACAATGGAATGTTATGTAATAACGGAGTAATGACACATGCTACAACATGGATGACCCTTGAGAACATCATGCTCAATGCAAGACGCCAGACACAAGGGCACATACTACACGATTCCATTTCTATGAAATGTCCAGAACAGGGAAATCTATAGAAACAGAAAATTAGAGGTTGCTTAGGGCTGGGAAGGATGAAGGGGTCAGAGGGTGATAGCTAAAGGGTGCAGGGATTCTCTTTGACATGAGAAAATGTCCTCAAATTGATTGTGGTGATGGCTGCACAACTCAGTGAAGCTACTAAAACCATTGCATTGTATACTTTGAACGGGCAAATTGTATGGTATGTGAATTATACTGCAATTTAAAAAAAAATCATCCTCTCCAACTTTTTAAAAGATGGCGCCTTAGTCCATCTAGGTCTAACTTTCTCACTTTATAGATGAGGCACTGAAGCCCAGAGAGGTTAAATGACTTACCCAAAGCCATTTGTCACTTAGAGCCCTGGTCTACTGTTCATTAGCCATTATGGTTTCACCCACTCTACACTGCTTCAAGCGAGTTCCAGTGGCCATTTGAATAAAATCAGTAAAATCACACAAACCACCTTGGATCCAGCACAGAGCTCTGGGCCTGTTTTAGAAATACACAATATGGTTTACTGAGGACCTATTTGTTCTTAGCACTTCATTGTCTCACAGCTCAAAAAGCTGACACTCGTGACCCAGCCAGGCCGAGGTTCCTGCACTTTCACTACTGAGCCATATCTCATATCCTTTGAGCTAAAGTCTATCGCCAAGTCACAGAGTATGAGCAGAGTGAGGGCGTGGAGACAAGTGGATCTGGGTTGAAATCCAGCTTTGTGTGAACTGGATGGAGCCATTCCCTTTTATGGGCTTTAGGAAATTATGAGTAATATAGATACTCTTTGCAAGAGAGATTACATGTAATGTGCTTGGCACGTAAATGTTAACTTCCTCCTTCCATATAAGAACTGAGAGGCCTTAGTGACGGAGACCTCGGTGAGGTCAGTCAGGCACATTTGCTGGAATTTGCTTGAATTGGGTTTCCCAGGGATGAAATTCTCCATTACTTGGCTGGACAGAGTTCATCATGTCCCATGCACACATTTGGCAGTGCCTCTCCCCATTGTGATCCTGACACAGTGTCATTCATTCTACAAGCTGAAAACGTTCACAGGAACGCCACTCAGAAAGAGGAACAGAAAACCACCCTGCAGAGCCCTGCCAGCTGCGTGCTCAGAGGAGCTCTGCTCTCACAGGCTCACTGCCCCTTGGGGACGGCTTCCCAGGGAGGGCCAGAATGGCTACTAAGGAACCTGGGATGAGGGAGAAGTGGGGGATAGAGCAAGGTCATTTGCATTAAGGTAAAGCTGACAGTAGTCACCAGTCCTAAAACTCAGGAAGGGGCTATCTTTTCTTAAAGAAATTCCAAAATGAAAACATTTAAAAGGTCAATTTTTTGTTATATTGTGCAAACTTTGTTTACTTTCAAATTATTTTTTATTGCTTATATAATGTATTTTCTTTCTTTCTTTTTTTTGGCAGGGTAAGGAAGATTGGCCCTGAGCTAACATCTGTGCCCATCTTCCTCTATTTTGTATATGGGACGCCAACACAGCATGGCTTGATGAGTGGTGCATAGGTCTGTGACCGGGATCCAAACCTTCGAACCCCAGGCCGCCAAAGCAGAGCACACGAACTTAACCACTACACTGTGGGGCCAGCCCTATAAATAATGTATTTTCATTGTTCAATATTTTTCTCTTTGTGAAAATTATTTTTCTTATTAAAATATTAAATTAAAAACCTATTTGTTTTTTATTTAATGACTTTGCACTTGGTTACAGGGCCACTTTTTAAGTTGGCTTAACTGACCTGCACTGCTATGGCCACCTGTAGGCTTCTAAAGTTCCACTGACTGGCCTGTTCCACCACCACAAAAATAGCAGGCCTACCACTGCATAATCAAAGGCAATTAATTTGCAGCAATTATCTAATTGATATTCACCCAGTGTTCCAAGACGCAGTGGAAGAAGTAAGTTGGAGATACAAAATCCACCAGTCTAGGCCTACTCCCCTCTCCAGCGTCACGGTCCACTAAGCCTTTACAGATAACTTTACACTGGGCGCCTACTCAGAGTCCCGCGCTCCCCCGCCCAAGTCGCAGCCCCAGTGCGTTCCCCACAGTGTTCACGGCTGCCTTCATGCTGTCTGCCCCTCAGCTCAGCTAGCTGTCTCCGCGATGCCTCTCGTGTGTGTGATGCCAGGCGGTGTAGGAACCACGAGGAAAACAGAGAGTTAGGGGATGCGGTGGGAGGTCGGGGCGGGGGGCTGCAATTTTAGATCAGGTGGTCCGGGGAACCTTTCCCGTGGGTAACATTTGAGCAGACCCCTGCGGGAAGAAGAGGAGTGAGGCACGGGCTTTCTGGGGAAAGGCGGTCCAGACTCCGGCGCTCAGGGAGTGGGGCCATCCCTTGTCGTAAAAGGGAAAGCAGAGTGTGAGAAACTGTGCTAGAACGAAGAACCCTTAGCAGCGTCAGGCTTTACCTTAACCTTGGCACCTAGGGCACACCACCCAGGGCCAAATGAGGATCAGACTCTAAGGTGGCGTGGAATCCCACCGAGCAGACTGCCCCTTCCTCTACTCGGGTCCCAGATCCCGCCGTCAGGCAAGGATCGCGTTCCCTTAGTCGTGGTCATGCCCCAAAGACACTGCCTCCTCCGCCCGCTCCTGTAGGTACAGGTTACCGGGGCTCTCAGATCCGCCTAAGCCGCTGTCCTAGCCCCGCCCCGCCTCCTTCTAGCCCCGCCTCCCTCCGGGCTCCGCCCCCTCGCCTCGGAGTCCCCCTCGGCCCCGCCCCTAATCCGCTTCGCCCCGCCTCTCTGTAGGGGGAGTGGCCCCCGCCCCTACGGCCGAGACTCCGCCCCCCTAAGCTCCCTCTTTAAGGAGCGGAGCGTCCACAATTGGTCGGAGTCTGAGACCTGGTCTCCTGGTTGGTTGTAGTATACGGCCGATTCTCCGCAGAGGGGATGACCCGGAACTGATTCCTCCGCCGCGTGGACTCGTCGCAGGGGGACTGTTGCCGCGGCAGCTGTGATGACCAAGATAAAGGCCGATCCGGACGGGCCGGAGGCTCAGGCCGAGGCGTGCTGCGGGGAGCGCACTTACCACGAGCTCCTGGTGAACCTGAACCCCATCGCGCAGCCCCTGGCTTCTCGCCGCCTCACGCGGAAGCTCTACAAATGCATCAAGAAAGGTGTGGCGGCGCCGGCCGGCCAGGCTGGGGGCGCGGGGGGCGCGGGGGGCGCGGGGCCCAGGGCCCCGACTGATTCTTCTGTTGTTGCAGCCGTGAAGCAGAAGCAGATTCGACGCGGGGTGAAGGAGGTCCAGAAATTTATCAATAAGGGCGAGAAAGGGTAAGAACGCTCCCGCCGGACTTTGCATTTCTAAACGGTAACGAGGGTAGTAGTGCTCGGTACAAGTGCTCTGACTCAGCCCCACGTGCGGAAGATAAGCAAGCAGTTGGTGAATTCCCTTCAGTACAGCTACCGATACATCACTTAGACGAGCTCAGAGGGACACCACGGGGCACGTGAATTCCATGGGAAGCGACTTGTATACACCACTCACTTAGGGTAGACCCCAGCTTCATTCACTCAGCGACTATCTATGGAGTGTCTGCTTTTTTTCCGGCACTGTGCTATCTGGAGACAATGACATTAATCAAATAATCAGACGCACAATTACAAGTTGTGCGATAGGTAACTATGAACGAAAAGTACAGGGTGCAGTGAGAATGACTTCGTTCCCCCTCGTCTTTCTTTTCTGGCATTTATCAGAATCTGAAACTTATTTGCATTTTTATTCCCTGTTTCTCCCACTCAGGGCAGACAGTAAGCTCTTTGAGAACAGGATAAAGCCTCTCACTGCTTTCTCCCCTGAAGTGTCTGGTACACTGAGGTGCCCAAGAGATAAATAATGCTGGGGGACTTGATGCTCAGTAGGGACCTACGCGGGGGTAGCTGAGGTGTGAAGATATAGGGATTAGTTTTGGGGGTTCTGCAAGGAAGATGGGTACCAGGGCACCAGAAAGAGTAGTGGTGGGCAGAAGTGCTACCTTCTCATGGGGCTTTGTAAGCTTGTGGTAAGTATAGTTTAGTTTTTGGACTCAGCTTTGAGAGGCCATTGAGAGTTAAAGCCAGGATGTGACATAATTATGTTTACCCCTTAAGAAGATTTTTTTGGCAACTTAAGAAGGATCAGAGATGCAAGAGTAGACTTGAGGAAGTTGAGACAGGAGGCTGCTCTAGTGTACGTGACGGCAGTTTGGATTAGGTTGGTGATGGCAGAGATGGAGAGAACTGAAGTGGATGGATCTGAGAGGACTTGCCGACGTAGAATCAGGAGGTATGGATTCCAGCTGAATGGACAGAGGGCCTGCTTACTGAGATACTGGACAGTGGAGGGGGGTCCAGGAAGATCCCGAGTTTGGTTTTAGACAAGTTGGGGTTTTTTCTTTTTGTGCTGAGGAAGACTGCCCTGAGCTAACATCTCTGCCCATTGTCCTCTATTTTGTATGTGGGATGCTGCCACAGCATAACTTGATGAGTGGTGCGTAGGTCCGTGCCCAGGATTCCCACCTGTGAACCCTAGGCCACTGAAGTGCGTGAACTTAACCACTATGCCACCGGGCTGGCCCCTTAGACAAGTTTTTGAGGCACCTTTTAGACACGTGACCCCTCTCCCCACCAGAACCATCAAATAGGCAAATGGCTGTATGGGTCTGGAGCTTGGAAGAGAGAGGGCCAGGCTGGAGAAACAGATTTGGCAGTTGTCAGCACATGCATGGCACTTGACGCCATGGCTGTGGCTGGGGTCAGCTGGGGAGAAGGTACTGAGAGGGCAGCCAAGGACCAGGCTGAAAGGAACACCAGCATTTAAAGTCTACTCAGAGGAAGAGGAGAGCCCATGAGGCAAAAGGAGAACCAGGAGAGAGTGGAAGCCGTGCTCTGAACCAAGAGCTCTTTCCTTGTGTTTGCCTATCTCCCCGCCGGAGAACAGACTCTTCCTCTGTCTTCAGGGCTCATGAGGCCCTTGCCCCAGAGCCCTAGCACCTTGCCAGCTAGAAGCCCTAGCTAAGGATTCTCTGGCAAATCTTCATTGGTTCCCTGTCACTCTTGGGACTGAGCCCATGCTTCCTAGGCTGGCACTCAGGGTCTTTGGGTGTGGTCCCTGCCAATCTCTCTAGCCCTGTCTGCCCTGGTCCCTATCCTGGATTCCAAAGCCATCCCAGGCTCCTAATAGCCAGCCCCTGTGCATCTGGTGCCATTCTGATTCTCTCAGCCTTAAATGCTTTCCCCGCCCTCAGCCCTTCCGTGGGCTGCCTGTCAGAAATTCATCATTCAGCTTTCTGTTCAAGTGTTGCCTCCTGAATCCTTTTTTGACTCTCCAAGAAGAGCTGAGCTCTTGCTCCTTGGCGTCCCTCCCATACCTCATCTGTCCCAGTGCAATACCACTTGTCAAACTTGGTGGCATTTACTTGTTGCAAAGAAATAGAGATCAGCTCCCCAGAGGCGTGCACTCACCAAACACAAATCTGCAAGCACTTTCAGAGGTTGAGAGGCCCGTATGAATAACTGGGCTTCTTGAGGGCAAGGGCCATCTTATCCGTCTCTGCACCCCCAAGGCCCAGTCCAGAGGTAGCACCTACAGCTGAAAGAGGGAATGAGCAAGCTAGAAACAACGTTGTTTCTCTTGTTTCAGGATCATGGTTTTGGCAGGAGACACGCTGCCCATTGAGGTGTACTGCCATCTCCCGGTGATGTGTGAGGACCGGAACTTGCCCTACGTCTATATCCCCTCTAAGACGGTGAGGAGCACAGGAGCCCCTGACCTGGGTCAGCACTAGAGGACGGGGTCTGGGATTGGGTCTGTGGAACAGGCCATCATGGGAAAGAGCCCAAGCTTTTGAGTTAAGACAGGCCTGGATGGATTCTTGGCTCTGCTCCTTCCTAGTTGGGGAACTGCAGATAAAGTTCCTTCTCTGCACCTTGGTTTCCTTGTAAAATGGGAATCCCCTTCTGTGGACTGTGAGAATGAAACAGAAGGTGTACATGGACGAGCTTTGTCAACTAAGATGCTGTGCTGTGTTAGTCTTACTAGGTGGGCGTAGTGCTCGGAGGCAGTGTTCTGGGGACCTGCAGCTGTCCTTATCCTTCTGGATAGCAGGGGCCAGGTCTGGGGCACAAGAAATGGGGATGGCTGGGACCTGGAGAGTATAGGCCCTGCCTAAGGTGACCACCAGTGCTGGGCTGGAGGGCTTTCACAGTTGCCATGTGGGAATGTAGGCCCAGTGTTGCTGGACCACAGCTTGAAAGTTTGCTGAGGGGCCAGCCCCATGGTGTAGTGGTTAAAGTTCGGCGCACTCCATTTCGGCAGCCTGGGTTCACAGGTTCGGATCCTGGGTGTGGACCTACACCACTTGTCAGCCATGCTGTGGCGGCGACTCAAATAAAGGAAGACTGGCACAGATATTAGCTCAGGGCAAATCTTCCTCAAACAAAAAAAAAAAAGGAAGATTGGCAATAGATGTTAGCTCAGCGTGAGTCTTCCTCAGCAAAAAAAAAAAAAGTAAGTTTGCTGATTTTAAATAATGGCAATCAATGCGCAATGTTTTTAAATATAATGTTGACCGAATAGCACTTGTCTGCAGGCTGGATTAGGCTGGTGGGTCATTGGTTTGTGACTCCCTGGCATAAGGCTTTGCGACCTTTTTTCCAAACCTCTTTCCCCTTCTCTGCAGGACCTGGGTGCAGCTGCCGGCTCCAAGCGCCCCACCTGCGTGATAATGGTGAAGCCGCATGAGGAATACCAGGAGGCCTATGACGAGTGCCTGGAGGAGGTGCGAGTGCTGCCCCCGCCCATGTGAAGGACTTGGGGAGCAACCTGGGCACCCGCTCTGGAGGCTCTTGGGCTGGCAGCGGGCCACTTGGTGGCCCTTCTGCTGCCCACACTCACAGCATCTCCCCATCCCCGGACGCACGTATTCTTCCCCGGCAGCTCCAACAGCTCTTTCGCTTCTCCATCAGTGCTGTTTCCTGTTGAGCCTCCGTGAAGACAGTTCCAAGAATGTGGTGGGGGAAGTAAATGCTAAGACTAAAATGTGGTGAGTCTGTAGGTGTTTTTTTAAGCAGCAGCTGCTGGTGGGGCCAGGGAGTTGGAGGGCAGGAAGAAGTAGAAGCTGCCTCTCTCACCAGAGAACCCGAGGACTTTCAGGGTGTTCAGTGCTAATGCTTGAGTGCTAGACTCAAGCTGAGAACAGACTCTTTGCTGCCCACCCCCAAGCTTTCAGCTTCCAGAGTCAGTAGGAGCTGCAGGGTAAGGCAGCCGAGCCCAGACCGCACTGAATGGAAGCCAGCAGCCCCTGTGTTGGGAACACCCCCATTCCTCTTTTCTTCTTACCCATGAGCCTTTAATGCGACTGGGAAGCTTATGGAAGCAATTTACCCACCCACACAGGAGATTTTAAATAGGAATATGAAGCTAAAGACAAAACCCCAGGCCATCTCTCCTGCTTGGCGTAACGGCCCTGGTAACCTAGTCCCTTTTACAATTTTACACTTAAGGTGCCTTCTGCCTCAAAGGCCCAGCACAGGACTCGGTACACATAGCAACCAAGCTTCAGGGACCCTGGAATAAAGTGGAAAGAGCTTGGGCGTGAGGGTCAAACCTGGTTTAAACTCTAAGCTCTCTTCTCTATAAGCTGTGAGCCCTGTTGTCCAAGTCATTCATCTTCCTCAGTCCCCTTACCCCGACTTCTAATATGGAGTAATGAGATTTGATATGTATATATGTAAAAGCAGCTTGCCCAGGCTCTGACATCTCCCAGCATTCTCACCCAATCAGACATGCAGGTTGGGTTCTTTCTGACTGGGTGCTGTGGCTGCCATGCTCCCACCCGCAGCAGCCGTGCCCAGGACCTGTGTGCAGTGGGTGTGTAGTAATTCTTTTCAGTGAAGCTAAAGGCAGGTGAAGGAAGAAGCCCTGTGAATATATTTGCTCAAAGTTATAAAACAATGGCATTCAGTTCTAACCCAGACTATTTACAATGGGAAATGGGTACATACAGTTGTGAGGCTGTACAGCGGGAGGAGTGGACACAAGACCTGGCAGTAAGAGACCTGGCTGAGGGTAGGGATGGAAAGACTGCTGCTGCTGGCCAAGTCCTTTGCTTCTCTGTTGGTTGCTACCAAGTCAACGGCAAATATAATCAGGGAGAGACAAAGCAGGAGCACAGAGGGCAGCGTCTCCCTGCCCTGACAGCCAAGGAGCCAGCTGCCCGGTGCAGGTTGGTTCATCGCCTTCCTTGGCCCTTGCCCATGGTGGCACTCCTCAGCCAGTTGCTCTGAAACCAACCACAATCCACTGAAGCCAACCACCCCCACTGAGACAGACCAAGGCTCATGGGTGAAAACCCCTTTCAACAAAGTTCCTTCCAGGTGGGAGTCAGAAGATGATCCGTTTCCCATCTGCTGGGTTCTGCTCCATGGGACAGTAGGGGCACTTCAGCCTGCAAAGGGAAGAGAACCACGAACATCTCAGGGGCTGGCCAGCAGGAGAGCCAAGCCAAGATGGAGCAGAGCATGGGGAACTTACTTTCCTCCGTTAATGAGCTTGTTGAGTGCGTCTCGGGAGATAACATGACCACAAATGAGCTTGATGGGGGGGTTGGAATCCGATGTCTGCTGGCGGAGGATGGGGCACGCAAACACTGAGTGGTACCAGCACTTCATGCCGAGTTCGATCTCAATCTGGGGAGGCCAGCAGAGGAGTGAGTACAGTTCTGTCATGTTGGGCTCCCCCGTGCCTTTTGCCCACACCTCCGCCTGCCAGGCCTCACCGGTAACTCGTCCTTGTGACTCCAGACCCCCGTGCACTGCCTCTGCTCGATCACAGCTTTGATGTTCATCAGCACGGGCAGCGCCACACAGCCAGAGGCAAAGCTGCAGAACAAAGAGCAGGGCTGGAGCGGCCAAACCGAGAGCCCAGCGGACAGCAGATGAGCACAATGCCATTGCTCCACAACTGGGGGCAGGGTTCTAAAGGGACACATGTCAAATGGGTCCTGGAGAAGCTCTCAGGTCACCCGTAAAGTGTTACATATGTAGTTTTGTGTGTCCAACTCTAGAGAGTCACTCTCCTGCACCCCAAAGTTTGAGAACCTGAGGGAAAGACAAAAGGAAGATCCAGGGGGCAAATATCTGTTCATCCAAACCATTGCAAAGTCCTTCGTGTGAAGGGGACAGTGCTCAGTTGGAAGGGCCCAGCCCACCTGTTGACCCCACTCGGCTGTCATAACGCAGCTCTGTGATTGGCTGTCGACAAGGGCACTTAGAAATAGGGGGTCGGTTCTCACAACGATGGGGACAGGGTGGGGAGCTGACTGGCTGGAGCTTCAGGTGCTAAATACCCCGGTGTGGAGGGAAGTCATGCACAAGGGAACTGTCCTGTCTGAGGCACAGATGGTTCCTACTGGGAAATACTGTTCTGTGACTGGAGTCCATCACGGGGGGTGGGGCACGAGATTCCACAGCTGGTCTAAATAAAGTGCACCATGACATGACCCACTGTGGTGTGGTGTGTGGCTTTGGGGTCAGGTCCCAGTGCCCTTTATTCCCTGTGAGGCCCTAGGCAAGTTCATTCCCATCTTGAGCCTCTAACTCCTAGGGTCATTGTGAAGTCACGAGAAGAACATTACTGTGAAGGAGATTTCCAAGTGACAGCTCTCCACACGTTACTCAGCCACTCCCAAGTCTCTCAAGGGGAAGTGGTGTTGGAGACATGAGGTCACAAGGCTGGCCTGTTGGTGGGTCATGTGATCATCCAGGGGTGAGGTGCAGGCGAGGCAGAGGCCTCATTCAAGAGACTTTACAAGATGGAAACCTTGACTCTGCAACTGACCTTGTGACCTCAGGCCACAATGCTTCCTAATCTCAGTTTCTCCAACTGTAGAAACAAAGGTAATTCCTATTGGAAGAATGACTAAGACAGCCAGTTGAGGTCTGTGAAGGCACCGAGCACCAGCCCTGGCACACGGCAGGGCCTCGGCAAAATGTTTCTCTAAACCCTCCCACTTGTGCTGTCTCCCCAGGGCTGGTTGTACCTGACACTGAGGGGCGACTCCACAGAAAGCCCCAGCAGGGAACAAGCATCCCGGGTAAAGGTCTCACAGATCTCGGCCCAATGGCTGTTGTCCAGGAGGTGGCAGTAGGGCGACTTCTCCAAGCCCAGCCGCAGATACACCAGACTGCCCATCATCACCTGGATCTCTGCAAGGCAACAGGGTGCAGCTCAGAGCACACAGAGGCCCAGGACACAGCCTTTCCCCAGGGCTCGGCGTCCAGCCCCTGGGGTGGCAGGGCTGTGGAGGCAGAATAGGGAGCAGGCTGATCCCCAAGACTCCCAGGCCCCTGACCAGGCCAACTCAGGACTGAAATGCCCTCAGGCAAAACTAGTTTTCCCTAAAATCCAGTGGGGAGGTGGAGTCGCGGGGCTGCTTATGTGGTACGGGGACAGGCATCACCACCCCGCCTGGCATCAGGTAGGGAGGGTTTTCAATTCTCTCTCCATCCATGTGACTGCATCAAGGAGCGAGTCTCAGGTTGGCGCTTATATCCCTGTTCTCCAACACGAGCTAATCTCCCCCCGCCCCGTTTTTTTTGCTTGAGGAAGACTGACCCTGAGCTAACGTCTGTGCCAGTCTTCTTCTATTTTGTACATGGAATGGCCCCACAGCATGGCTTGACAAGCAGTGTGTAGGTCTGTGCCCAGGATCCAAACCTGTGAACCCCGGGCCGCCAAGGCAGAGCGTGCAAACTTAACCACTACACCACCAGGCCGGCCCCTAATCTCCCCTTTTAACAAGCTTTCAGGAGGCAGCAGTAACTAGCTAAGATTTAATAACATTGCTTGGTTTTCATGATGTCTATTTCTAAATAAAATGTGAATAAATATGAGTGGAGCTAAAGACAAAAGTTACTAGCAGTAGGGTGATTACTAACGGTAAACATCTGGTATCTAGTAGGTGAGACTCAAACGACAGGTTTGGAAATCGCAGTGTGATGAAAGAGGGCTCGGGAAGGAAGCTGTAGATGAGGTGCCCAGTGAGTCTTAAGGACACCAGTGGGGTTCTTCCAGGTGGGAGAGGCCCATGCTGAGGCAGAGCAGCATGAGGGCATGTGTGTTGTGGGCACGTGGCCCAGTGTGCTCTGAGTGTGAGTGTGGCACACGGCAGGTGCTGGGAACCAGAGGTGGTCTGAGATGAAGCTAGAAGGGTTGGCAGAGGCAGGTGAGGAAGAACCCTGAGTTTGGAGTTCACCTGGGAGACAATGAGGGAGGGGCCAGAGTTCTCAGGTTGGGGAGAGGCATCCTGGTGCATCCTGGCATACAGCCCCGTGCGAGGCAGGGACTGGCAATCCGACATGTGTTGACATCTGCCAGAGCCCGGCAGTGCCCACCCTGGCACCCTGGGCACTTACCCCGCTGGTGCAGCCGAGCAAAGGGCTGGAAATGCCGGGCGTAGCTGAGGGCCTCCAGCTGCTTCTCGGGACCACCTGCCAGGAGGCGGATGAAGTGCAGTCGGTGCAACTTGAACTCCAGGGAGCTGTTGAGCTCGAGCAGGCGCTGCCTGTGGGAGACGGCCCATCTGGGAAGAACGGGGCCAGTTGAGTGTGGAGCTGGTGGGGTGAGAGAAGGGGCCCTGGTGGAGCTGGGTCTGAGAGGTGTGCTCCAAAAGCCGACATGAGGCCCACAAGACACGGATGGAGGTGTGTCAAGTACAGTGTGTGAGTGAAGACCACAGACAAGCCCTGTCCCCCGCTGGCCCACCCAAGGGCCAACTTACTCCAATGCTGGCCCCAGGTCTTGTTCATGCAAAGCTTCCAGGATTCGATTCAACTCCAGGAAAGGCTGCTTGAAATCCAAGTCCACATTCAGCGTTGATTCCTGTAGGGAGGGAGAGCAGTCCTACCACTGGAGGACAGCGTTTCCAAAATCCTCTGCTCTGTGCTTAATAAAACCCATACGCCAAAGACAGACTGGCGAGAGCTGGGGTTTGCACGAGGAGCTGTGGTCTGCCAGCTGCTCGGGCCCCTTCTCCCCATTTCTGG